TGATGGTTCGTTTGTGTTTATGGGTTGGTTGGTGCACGTGATGCTAGAATTATTTAAAAAGCTTTTTATAAATGCTATCTATTTTATGAATTTCACGAATTTGGTGTGATAGACAAATATTTCAAAATTGTATTTATTTATATTTAAACATTACATTTATCATCACAGGCACACCTAATGCAATAAATGCAGTTACACAATATAAGTAGGTAAACTTAAAAACGACTACAGTACTAAACATTTTAATAGTGTGGCATTCATAAAGAAAAATGAGTATTAATAAACAAAAAAAAAAACAATATCATAACCAATTATGTACCTACGTTGAAAAAATGCCGTGCACAGTATCTTGGAACGACTGTGGCACCTGACTACTATAGACTTACACGCAGAATACACACACATTGACACGAAGGACATCTATCGCGTGACATGGCCCGTCATTACACTTCATACATTACGGTGTTGCAAGTACACGCACAAATAGGTAATGACTTAATCATTTCTAAGTGACATTATGTCCACATTCTTTTCAACCAACGTCCTTAATCATAATTTCAAACCTTCAAGAAAACAGCGTATTCCTTTTTAAAAAACCGGCAATGCACCTGTGCCTCCTCTGGTGTTGCGGGTGTCCATGGGCGGCGCTGATCGCTTACCATCCTTATTGCCTCCTATTCCATAAAAAAGACCTGGGCCTTATATTTGTAGCAGGCCTTATTTCCATGGACTACGCCTCCTCTACTCGTGAGGGTCAGTCGTAATTTCCAATCTTGAAAGATGGATTAGACTTAATATAAAGATTGTATTTGTAAAATATATCTACCAGATAACGCTGCTGCTCAATGTCAATCAATGGTTACACGGAATTAACTATATATAACGAGTTACTCACGTAAATATACTGAGAATAATTCTACTAGAATAGGCAGCGAGATATAGCCGCGACCGCGTACTCAGCTCATGAGGAAGAATCCCTCTGTGACTCGCAACTAGTGAAGCTTTTCTCAGTATATTTACGTGAGTAACCCGCAATTTTTACTTAAACTGGTTAAACAGGATATTTAAAACATCTTTGACCATCATCACATCAGTCACAAGTCGTTCCCTGCTGAACACCCCCCCCCCCCCTAACGTAGTCCAGGACGTCCCCCCACCAGGTGAACAGACGACCTTATTAAGGTTGCAGCTGGATTCAGCTGCACTAGCCTTCAAGTTCCAACCGACCGACCTTGAACTCATTGGAGGAGACCTATATTTAAATTTAAGTGTTGGAGAGCCATGCTTAATCACGAATGGGCCGGCTCGACCGGAGTGATACCACCAACGAGCAGAAAACCATAGTGAAACAACCACAGCGTTGTGTTTCGTCGTGTGAGTGAGTTACCGGAGGCCTAATTACTACTCCCTTCTCCGAAATCTCTGAATTCCTGACAATCCTCAAATTACTAATCGCCAAAAGGCCGGTAACGCACTTGTAAGGCCTCTAATGTTCCAGGTGTCCATGGGCGACGCCGATTGCTTACCATCAGGTGATCCGTCTGCTCGTTTACCAGCTTATATAAAAAAAATATCAAATCTAATCTAAACCTAATATAAAAAATCACAATTCTGATTTTAGACACCAAATCCATCTTCAATCTAGTTTAACAACAACGCAAGTGTTCAGCTCACCCCCTAACGATAAACAGCGTGAATAATCACATGCATATTATGCTTATAATAAATTTTATTCAAATCGCAACTGTGTTTACTAAATATCTTTGATTTGATACGGGCAGTTGCGATAGGGGTGCGAAGGGGTTGCGATGTCAAAACAACGTATTGTGTTGTGTGGGTGACTTTTTATACTAGGTTATTTTTTTAATTGGGTACTTGCCGAATAGTCAAATTGATTACTTTTTTTTTAACTGTCAAAAACGACAGTTTTCTATGAGAATTTTGTACGAGATTGTGTATTGTGACGTCACGTTTTTTAGCGTCAAACAGCATACTTATTTATACTTACCTATCTTAAAAATTAGCTGGAAAAATACTAAAATTAAGTTGGTCATAAAATTAATTGATGAAAGTGTGATTATTTTTTAATATTGTATTGTATTGAACATAACATACATTACATCACGCCTTTTTATCTCCGAAGGGGTAGGTAGTGGCGCACATTACGGCACTTTGTGCTACTATACAATGTAACACCCACTTCTTCACTATTTATGTTATGAGTTCCATGTAATAAGGGGTGAGCCTATTGCCACAATTCCAAACTCCGTGCTACTACTGAGAATATTTAAAATAAACTCAGTAATACCATGCCCGACCTGGGAATCGAACCTGAGACCCCTTGCCCGGCAGTCGCACTTGCGACCACTCGGCCAACGAGGCAGTCAGGAATAAAATCAATACGTAGATAATGTTTTTATAAGGCCGCCAACACAGTGCACGTCCCCTGGTGATTCAAGTATCCATGGGCGACGCTAATCACTGAAAAAAGTCCAAATAACTAACTTATGCCCGCGCTTAAGTATAGTTCTGTCACCACTAATTCTTTGTGAAATGACAGAGATGGCACGATATTAAAGCACGACTTAAAATTGAGTAACGTTTCAGTATTCCGGCACTAATGCCGAAGTAATATCTAAATATATTATGCATATGTCCATGGGCGACGCTGACCGCTTACTATGAAGTGATCCATTTGCTCGTTTATCGCCCTATTCCATACAAAATTGGGTAGTTTTCAGAATATCTAAATTAAAAATCTTATTAGTCCGTCAGTTAGATAATGAAAAAATATTAGACACGTATTTTTTTATTTCCTCGTAATAAGTTGCAATACATAAATAAAATGGCGCTAAGTTTAGGAGTGGGAGGTCGTTACGTCATAACGTGCTACAAAATGCGACACGTAGTGACGTCACACGATATTTCAAATTAATATATCGCCGGAAGTATTTAATTTTGTGAGAAAAGAAAAAATACGCGTCTAATGTTTTAAATTAAAGTACCAGACGGATATTAAAATAAAATTTAGGAAACTACCCTATTCCTACCTATCACTACTTATATTGTCCAAAACCCTAAACTAAGGGCCCCATAGCCCCATATTAAGCAATCACGATTATAATCTTTAAACAAGACGGCTATTACTAACTTCAGTAAGTTATTTTCAATCTTTAAGAGAACATTTAACCGCAATAACCAACTGTCCTACTCCACCTCATTAAATCTAATATCAAGCTTGAAGAAATAAAATTCATGATATTTTTTCCACAAATAAAAAATTCAATACAAAACCAACTTAAAATCGAATGAAATAAAGTTGAAACTCAAATGGGGGAAACAAAAGCGGTTATAGACTCCGTAACAGCCAATAACAATGAGGGGCGGGGCCAATTTTGAAATTGGAACGATTTTTTTCTTTTCCAACAGCGGTCTTCTTTAACCTCAGTCGATGCTTGGACGTCGTGCAGTTGAGACGTCTTAGAAATTAATGAAAAATATGATTTTTTATTATAAATTGGCAATTTTTCTCTCTGAATTGTCCATTCATGTGGATGATCTCAGTTTTTCATGTTTTTTTTAGCGATTAGGGGTAGAGAGGATATTGAGTATCAGCTGTTATGTTTTGGGGGAGGATATTCGGTAGAGGCGAACTGAAAATTGTCGATATAAGTTAATTAAAAAGGTTTTTTTATTCTTGTTTTTCTTTTGTATATTAATAATGTTTCAGTATTTTATTTTAGGCATACCTACACGTGTTTTAAAAAGGTATGCCGGTTACGTCCAATTATATTACACCTTTATTTTCATTTTGACTGCCTCATCAGTCAAGAGGTTGAAAGTATGACTGTCAACCAAGAGGTCTTTGGTTGGAATCTCGGCTCGGGCAAAATATTATTCATTTACTATTGTCAGGAGACTTTCTATTTCAAAGTTTTGTAATGTATTTAAATATGTATTAAGCTAACATTGTAGCGGAACCTTTTACTCAAGATTCGATTCTTTGTTTTTTGTATTTTCGTTGTTAGCATGGTATGTAGGGATAAGGGTATTTAAATAAGTGTTAATGATATGAGTGACATTCCCCCCATTGACAGTCCACTGCTGCACTATGAGTCTCCTCTACATAAGAGGGGTTTGCCATAATCTCCGCAGGCAGGCGGGTTGGAGATCGCAGTATAAAAGGTTCAGGTTTATCAGAGAGCGCTGCTGCAGTATTCACCCGTGTGAAGAGTAAGGGTGCTGAAAATGTATTTCTGTACCTACCACCTTAAGCAATAAGATTCGTGATGTCAATTTAACCACCATCTTTAAAAACCCAAGCAGATACGACATTTTCGCACAGAATTGCAGAAATAAAACAATAAATTTCGAGAAAAACCAATATGGCTACCATTTTCTATTATCAAGCCACCATTACCGGTTCATATCAATCGCGAACGAGTTTTGTTACAATAAATGCGGGCGGCGCCGGGGGGCGAAACTAACTCGATAAAAAACAACTAAATATACCCTTTTCGACTCACTTATGAATAACTACATACATATCTGAACGTCTGCAACTTTATACATGTAGCCAAGCGTTTAAGAAATCATTTTTTTGCTAAAAAATAAGGTTTAATTTCGCTTGTAGTGGTTGTAGTCTCTAAGTTTGTAAGGCTACAAAACGACTAACAAAGGTAGATCTGTCCTCAGTACAGTTTAAAACGCAAGTAGAGATCAATATAAATTGGGGTTCCGAACAAAAGCGCGCCTAAAAAGCCACCCTATGTTCGGATACACGCCCCTTTTATAAGAACCACTCCCTTCAATTCAGTCGTAGTTGCACCACGGAACGGGACGCACGTGTTAAAATAATTTTTAGACGCGTATCCGAACGCCGATTTTCAATTTCAAAATCGAACGCCAGTGATTTAAATAGTGATGTTCTATAGACAATTAATAAAACATTTTTTTATAGTTTTCGTACAATTTTAATTAGGTTTAAGTCAAAACGTATTATGTACCCAACCGATTTGAAAAATGGACAGCTTAAACTGAATTCGTTTGGCAAAAATCTAGACCACAACATTATGCTGAAGACGATACAAAATTTCTGCTATAACAAGTCGAACGCGGGGCCATTTACGATGACGTCACCATTTCTCGTCGACAACATTTTGCATCAACAAAAAACCGAATTACAGAATCAGTATATAAACCAACAAATCGAGAATTATGTGCGACAGAACTATGAGAGATCACGGAATAATACTCCAGAGATAGACGATCCTAAATTAGCTGAGTGCGATGAAGAAAATCGCCAAGAAGAATCGATTGAAGACTCCAAAATCGAGGACGAGGATTCGAAAAGTCGAGATGAGGATTACGTAAAAAACGAAGCGTACTTTAACAACGAATTTTACACAAGAAATGAAGAATCTCGTTCCACAGAAAAAGAGGTTTTGAACGTTCCTAATTTGATCCGTCGCTGTCAAACGTGTGGGTCATTTGAATGCCCCCCATTCTCGTGCAAAAAATCCGGCATCAGACGCCTTCAAGAGTTGGAGAAGCGATTTAATCTGAACTATCATGAAAATTCGGGCGATGAAGCCGAGAAACATGATAAGGGATACACTGATGATCTGGTCCGAAATTGTGATGAGTATACGGAGCAAAAGAAGCCGTTGTTGAAGTTCAGTGTTAGTGCCATTTTGGGGGAAGATAGTTTGAAAAGTAACAATGTTAGCGGTGAGTTTTGTTTGAATTTTAATTTTAATTAGGGTTCATTTTTGTTTAATGGTTTTTATCGTGGTGACTTAGACGTTAATCTCTATATAATCTGTCGTCGGCGGTATTTCCGAACCGATACGACCTTCAAACCTTCAAGAAAATAGCGTATTCCTTTTTAAAAGGCCGGCGACGCACTTGTGACTCCTCTGGTGTTGTGGGTGTCCATCGGCGGCGCAAATCGCTTACCATCAGGTTATCCGTCTGCTCGTTTGCCTCCTATTCCATAAAAAAGCATCTGATGGTGAGTGTGTGGTCGGACTTTTACATATTTAATTTAGACACTAATGTTATTCAGTCTATGGTAAATGTCGTTCGGAACTTAATTGGTTACTAGTTTAAATATTTAAAATGTTTTTAAAATTGATGACTCGTTTTAAGTTTTAATGATATATGTTCATTTATTTTCCAATTTAAAAGAGGCATTGATTCAAATTGATTCAAAGAGCCATCAGACCACCTTGGATAGGGCCGAATAAAGCTGATGCCGATACGAAGCCGCGGAGAACCTAACGGGTTACCGGAAATAATAGGATCAGGAACAACAATCGAATAGGAACGGGGTGGTTTTTAGTCATAGTCTGATCCTCCCTCCCGCCTCACCCAGGCAGGAGAAGCCATACGATGATCCCCCCCCCCTTAAAAAATGCTGAAGTCTTTAGTTACGCCATTTAAAAGATTGTTTAAAAAAAATTGGTAAACGTTTGCATAGAATTTTGTCAATCGTTGATTTGTTGAATTCGGCTACGCCCCACTTTTCTGAAGTTTTCATTATCCGGAAACCGTTATTTTACCCTTAGGCGAATGTATCTGTCTGTCTGTACATTAGCTTACTTGATATAGAATTTGAAATTAGATACATTTGTTTTTAGTATTCGAAAATCGAGTGAGTATTATGACGGACAGGAAAGACAGAAGTGGAGAAAAGTTTTTGAAATAACAATAGATTTTAATTATTAAGTTTTCGGCTTACTCACGTAACTGTTTGACGAGGAACTCGACTAGTTTCAAGCCATGCTAGAGGCTCATATTCATAAGCATTCCGCGGCCCGCGACGCGGCGACTGTCGCGCTGCTACTATTAATGAAGATTTTGTTTATTTAGGTTTGATGTCTTACAGCAATTTTAGTAAATTTTCACGTTGCGTTGTTATTAGATTTTTTTTTTTGTTTAAGTGGGGAAAATCATCGAATGACTGCTCCCGCCTGGGTGAGGCGGGAGGGAGTGTCAGACTCTTACTGACTAAAAACCACCCCGTTCCTTCTCCTGTACGTCGAGCCGGAGCCTCGGTTACCCGTTAGGTTCTCCGCGACGTTGTTATTAGATTAAGTATTTTATTTGGTTCTCGTTTAAATTAAAAGTATTAAATCTCCTCTGTCTGATAATATTGATGATAATTATTAAAACTGACTGCCTCGTTGGCCGAGTGATCGCAAGAGCGACTGCCGGGCAAGGGGTCTCGGGTTCGATTGCCGGGTCGGGCCAAGTATTACTGGGTTTAAAAAAAAAATCTGAGTAGTAGCACGGAGTCTGGAAATGTGTCCCGTATATGGCAATAGGCTCACCCCCTATTAAATGGGACTCATAACATAAATAGTGAAAAGTGGGTGTTACTTCTGTGTGCACCTCTGCCTACCCTTTCGGGGATAAAAGGCGTGATGTTATGTCATGTTAATTATTAAAAGTACATATGTAGTTGTGTACTTTTTTATGTTATGAAAAGCCAATGCCTTTGATGCTGGTAGCGCAGGCGAAATCACTGATGTCAAATTGTGATTGAATTTTCGGGGGCTTTATGCTAATTTTTATTGTAGTTAAGTAAGTAATCGCAATCTTTCGTAGCTACATTATTTTGAGTTATGTCAGACCTAATTATAGGTATGCTAGCATTCCACGTATTAATTTTCATTTTATCTATGCTTTTTTTAAGGGGGGAAAATCATCGAATGACTTCGCCCTTCGCGGGAGAGAGTGTCAGACTCTTACTGACTAAAAACCACTCCGTTCCTACTCCTGCGCTTCGAGCCGGAGCCCCGGTAACCCGTTAGGTTCTCCGCGACTCCGAATCGGCATCAGCCCTATTGGGCCCCATCCGTGGTGGTCTGGTCTGATGGCTCTTTGAAGCGCGCGCGGAACGCGAAGCGCCGCGCTGCTCGCTTGGGTCTGGTTCTGGTCGGGCGGCGAGCCACCCATGCTCGCCGTCCGCATTTTATCTATGCTAGAAGAAGTTAAAGTGCCGTCGGTTAGTGGAAATATTCAATTTGCGTTCTGAGCTCTGTTCATCCTAGCGGGTTGCTCCTCTTTATTTGCTTTATTGAAATTCATGCATATAACATAATTTATATAACTACATAAATATTTACAACTTAAAATTAACTACAACTAAACTATTACATAAAACGAAAGTAAAAAAAAGAAAACAACAAAAATTATACCCTCAATTTAGTATTCGTCCGTATCACTATCACAGGGGAACGTTCCCAGAAGACTGGCAGCATTGCCACGTTGAATGGCAATGCAGTAGTAGGAACGGGGCGGTGCTTAGTCAGTAAGAGTCTGACACTCTGTCGCCTCACCCAGGCGGGAGAAGTCACTGCATAATAAATTTTTCCCTCCTTAAAAAAAGTCAACAGTTGATAACTAAGATTGTTTAATCGCTGTTTCGAATGATGAAATCGCCCATAGTAAAGTCTGTTACCCATTGTAGCCTGTGCCTTTAGCCAAATGCCACTTTAGCGCTTGTCTACAGAGAGAGTAGAAAACTAAATGTACGGTGATGACACTGAGAAGTGTCATAATTTACGTCAAATTCATATAATTCGGTTTTCTATTCTACATGCACTAAATGGCATTTCGATACAGCTGCTGATTTCGTTCTGGCTGTTCAAAATTAGGTGTTTCATCTAGTTTTGTGATGATCATCGAAACTTACGGCTTTGTTTGGTGCGTTTTAGATGAGCTTTATTGAAAGGCTAACCGATGAGGTTACCTATTACCTACGTTAATTCCAACTTTTGTCAAAGTATTGTTAATGGGCATAAATGTATGAAAATGATTGTGTGAACAATGATACACAAGAGAAAGGAGTTTGTGATGTGATGACGTCTGATAGGGGGGATGGAAGACGACATATTGTGCCAACCACAAGGTAATTGGATAAGAGTAGAAAAAAAGTGTGGGAGAGCCATGCTTCGGCACGAATAGGCCGGCTCGACCGGAGTGATACCACGGCCTCACAGAAAATCGACGTGAAACAATGCTTGCGTTGTGTTTCGTCGTGTGAGTCAGATTATCGGAGGTCCAATTACCCCCTCCTTTCCCCGATCACCCAATTCCTGAATCCCAGCATTCCTCAAATTCCTAATCCCTGAAAGTCCGGTAACGCCCTTGTAACTCCTCTGGTGTTCCAGGTGTCCATGGGCGACGCTGATTGCTTTCCATCATCTGGCTTATCCTATACAAAATTAAAGATGTTATGTTAGGATTCAGATAGTGGTGAAATTATAATCTGACGGATTCCAATGATAACAGCAACTCTACCGTGTGATTGAAAATATGTCCAGTATCTAACAACAGTCTGAGCTATCTTTTTATGCTTGTAAATTGTGAATTTAGGAAAATTGTATGTTCTGTTGGTGAACGTAGGGTAACGCTGCAAATTTTTTGTCAAATCGGATCGTCGTCGGAGTTATAAGTAGCAGTATACTGAGACCCTTTTCCCGGCTAGCCGGAACCGGGTGCCCGGCGGCGGAAAAGTGTATAGCCATAATGTTCATTAGATTCCACGTGTATCGGTGTATTCTAAATGGTTCTAAAGTACATTTAGCCGGAGCATTTAGAGAAGACCGAATACAAAACAATGGTTAGAGATATTTTTATACAAGTTCCAAGTGTGTAGGACGTATTTTCGAAAAATTTTGTTTTTATTCTAGATCCACAGCAAAACTGTGGAATGATCTGTCGTTAGCGGTATCTCCGAACCGATACGACCTTCAAACCTTCAAGAAAAGAGCGTATTCCTTTTTATAAGGCCGCCAACGCATCTGTGTATCCTCAGGTGTTGCGGGTGTCCACGGGCGGCGCTGATCGCTTACCATCAGGTGATCCATCTGCTCGTTTGACTCCTATTCCATAAAAAAGATGTGTATATTCAGTTCATTATTATTAATAGCTGTTGCCCGCGACTTCGTCCGCGTTGAATATGAATCTTAGAAGATAACTTTATTGCTCATTTTTCAAAATAGAAGTAGCCTATGATACTCCTTAGTACGTCAGCTACCTGTTAATAAAAGTCTTGAAAAATCGGTCCAGCCATTCCAGATATTAGCCATTACCTACAACTTAAGATAAACTAAAACTAATAGAGACAATAAAATAAAAGAAAACTAAAGATGACTATTTAAACGAAAAGGAGACTGGGACTTGTGGGCCCAATTGTAATAAGTTGAATTATGGCTTAAAAAAAAGGTATTTTTTTTCTATTTCATACTGTAAAAAATCAATTCAATTTACAATCTGGGAAATGAAAAATCCAATAATTATGTTAGGGTTACGAATTATCGATTCAATTGTAATCGATTAACGTTACAGAGTTCATACTATTTACGAAAATGCTTTCACCGGTTGATTTATTTAATTAAAATAATAAAATCTATTAGAATTAGAGTATTAAGAGTTAAAACTAATTAGTTATCTACATAATTAATATTAGACAATTCACATTTACTAATCGATTATTGTATTTTTAATCTGTGCTAACTCGACATTCGTTTCGTATCGTCTGTGCGTGTGCGTTCTGAGTGTCATTTGTTTTCTTCCCGTTTTGTTTTTGTTTTTATTGATAATTATTATTCCTCGACCCGGCTTTCCTACGGACCTGTGATCTTCCTCCTTCTACGACCCTTGCCTTGCTACCATACTGGACACCGAGAACCCCGCTTAAACGTTGAACTTGGACTTGT